ACAACTATTCCACAACAGAGTTAGAATGTTTAGCCATTGTTTATGGAATTAAGCAATTTAGACCTTATCTATATGGAAGAAAATTTACAATCTTAAGTGACCATAGACCATTAGCTTGGTTATTCAATTTAAAGGATCCCTTATCAAAATTAGCTAGATGGAGAATACAGTTAGAACAATATGACTATGTTATTAAATATAAACCGGGAGTTCAAAACGGTAATGTAGATGCTTTATCTAGGATGTTCACTATACAGGATATAAAGGAGGAAAGCTATAACAATTTTCTTGTGAAATTCGAAACCACATTGATAACCAATGGAAACGTTAAGGAAGTGCACGGGAAATTGTTGGAGTCACCTCCTGAATATCATATAGTTACTGAAATAGAAAAGTATTATAACTTCAGGACAGGAATCAATTATGAGATAAAACAGAAATTGGTGATACCGTACTCTTGAAATCTAACAAACAAGTAGGCGAAGTCACAAAAGTTAAACATGAAGATAGGTATATAATATTCTTAATAACCAAGAGTAAAACTAAACAGATCACTACGTATGAAAATCTATATAACGCTCTATTAAATTTAAAATATTTTAGTGAAAAGCATTCCTTAAATAAACTCGTAATGAAACAATTAGGCCGAAAGGATGGGTTAGAATGGGATAAGGTTAGAGCCATGATAAGATATATATTCCGAAACACAGGAATAGAGATTTTAATCTGTTCAAAATTAGAATATACGGATGCAGAGAAAATGATCATATTTAAACAATTTCATGATTCAGTGCTAGGAGGACATGCAGGAGTAAACAAAACCGTTAAAAAGATTAAACGTCAGTTTAATTGGCCAGGACTCAAGTTAGATGTTAAGAATTATATTAAGAAATGTGAGTCCTGCCAAAAGAATAAGGTTACGAATAGGAAGATTAAACAACCCATGGTAATAACCACCACAAGTTCAAAACCATTTGAAAAGATATTTTTGGATATAGTAGGACCTTTAGTCACTACAGCATCTGGGAATACTTATATTTTAACCATGCAAGATGATCTTACAAAATATTCATTGGGAGTACCTTTACCAAATCACACAGCCAATACTGTAGCTGAAGCTTTCGTAGTACATTTCGTTTGTATTCACGGAATACCAGAGACCATATTAACCGACCAAGGGACCGATTTCCTAAGCAAAACATTCGCGGAAGTATGCAAACTTTTAAAAATTAATAAGATAAATACTAGCCCGTATCATCCACAAACCAATGGGGGATTAGAAAGATCGCACAGAACTTTAGCAGAATATCTTCGACATTATGTAGATAAAGATTTAAACACCTGGGATCAATTATTACCTTATGCGTTATTCGTTTACAATTCAACAGAACATTCGTCCACGAATTATCAACCCTATACACTGTTGTATGGAAAGGAAATAAACATTCCAGTAAATTTGAAAAGTAAACCAGAACCTAGATACAATTACGATGATTATTTATATGACCTGAAACAAAGAATGCAGGAGTCTCATAAGATAGCAAGGGAAAGGTTAATAAAGAAAAAGATTAAATCAAAAACAAATTATGATAGCAATGCACATAGTGAAGAGTTGCATGTAAAGGATTCTATATTATTACGAGATAACACTCAGAGAAATAAGCTAACACCTCTATGGAAGGGACCTTTCGAAATTTTGGAAATATTAGATACTGAAAACATTGTTATTCAAAGGGGAAGGAGAAAGGTCACAGTACATAAGAATGATGTGAAGAAAATATCATGAGAGTCCCAGTAAAATAAATTATAGTTTAGTAATAAAAATATTAAATATAAATTAAATGAAAATAATACAAATTATTATTAAACTAAAAATATTGATATTATAGTTAGATACTTTGTTATAATATTAAGAACGAATTTACGTCAACAGATCGCCTGTAGTACCACCTATAGGCACAGCGACCATTATTTACCGTGAAATCAGGCCACCTCCACTAACAGGGGAAGAAAGTAGACAAGAGTTGCGTGCCGGACTGACTTTGGCATGGCGAGTAACAAAAGAGTTAACAAATCCAATATGTATGGATTTGGCTAGGTACATCGAAATTATACCCCACGCAACAGATATACTGTTTTACGATAGGTAATATAACGGAAATTAATATATACTGGTCAATATACCATTGGATAATTTAAAATTTTAAATATTATAATTGTTAATAATCAAATATTACCATTAACCAACACTTTATTGTAATCAATAAATATTATATATGTAAACTAACATTTATTATACATTATAAATATTATATTAATATTGTATTGGAACTATTGTATTTTAATCAATTAATTTAATCGAATTACTAACAAATATTTTTATCTGTATTTAAAATTTAAAATATATATATAATCAATTGTAATACTCTAGAGGAGTAATAAAAAAAAAAAAAAAAAAAAAATGTACTAAAAATTATCATGTAAATTGTCATAATAAGACAATGATTAATTATTTATATATTGTATCTGTAACTCATGAAACATTTATGTAAACCAATTGTAAACTTTTATCTATGTAAAATTTTAAAGCTTTTTGTAGCCCTACAAAATTGTAGCCCCACAAAAACCTTTGAAAGGGCGGTGAGGTGTAGCGAGCTGTGACTATTTTGCCATATGGTTTAAACACATTATAATGTATACGTCATCATATAATATTCGCACCGCGTATATATAAATATTATACTCGAGCGCTTCTTCGAATAGTAATAATATAATATCAATAATAGTAATATCGAGCGCGTGACCATGAGCGGCGTGCGACAATAGATATATGACTACGTATATGGATAATCCTAAAATAATATAGTTAGATTTGTGCTGTTATTAATTATTTATTAATTATTGTTGAATAACACCACAAATGTGCTATATAGATATATGTGGACTTCCGGCGCGTGCAAGCGTGTGAAAATCACAATAGGCTTAACCGCAAGACCATGTATGGTCTTAGAAAGTATGGAAGTGGCAAGGGACAGAGATCCATCGAGGAGAGCTGATGGACAAGCGTCCATCAGACGAGCAACCAACCTCAACTTCAACAGTCACACTAAATACTCATAGTCACAACTCGCTTTTAGTTAATTATTTGGACTTAGAATAATTTCTATAAAACTGTTTTATATAATAAACACAATAAATACTATCAAAGAGGTTTTGTTCAATTATTGCTTCCAAATCAACAAGTAACGCTGTAGGGCACGTTACAAGTGAAAGGGAAGGTTCATATAATATTAACCCACTAACGGCCAAAGTATTAAAAATTAAAAAATTAATTATAATTGTGATCAGTATTTGCTAATATTTATAATCTTACCAATTAAAAAACATTTGATTTTGTTGCTTAATACAATTAGTTAACTTTGCGTAACGAAATGTTGCTCTGACGCAAAGTTGGCATAAAGCGTATTTAAAAAATTCAAAAAAACAATGTTGTATACAATCAACTTTTTATTAAAAATGCGTAAGTACTTTAATGATTATAATATTAAATCGGTATAAAAAAAAACATTACTTTAAGAAAAATGTATTATGTAAGCGTAATATTATGAACAATAAAATATATTGGAAACCTTATGAAATTTCTTTTGTATGGAATTCTTTATAACCATCTGCAGGGTGTAGAAAAACAATAAACATTTCATTTCTTGCACAAGTAAATTGTTTGTGAATTACAATTGCGGCATACGCATATTCTTCTTATTTCTTTTCGGATAATGAGATGACCAATACATCCATTCTTATAGCTCTAGGTAGAGCATTTTTAGAAGGTCGACCCAAATTAGTGTTGGAAAAATAGACTCTAGACTCATTGTTTGTTTCTTCAGATTTCACCAAACTCAAAATAAGTTTTGATCTGTAGTTAAATTGGGACATTTTTTCACAATTTACAAAATTATAAAATTTCCAAGAATTGCAGACTACTGTCAATTACACTGTCTATTGCGTTGGTAAAAAGTGGCCACCACTATTTTTTCCCCTTTACTCTAGTTCTGTAATTGGCTATACTAGTCACGCCCGCAGATAAGTAGCTTACTAGAGGCAAAGTACTTTTAGTGACAATATAATCTGTGGGAGAAGCACGTTTGGGCACATTGCATTATTTTTACCTGTAAATGTAGAACACGTTTGAGCACACAAACACATAGCACGTTTGGGTACATACGATAATTGCCAATAGGTTATCTCGAAAAAGCGATTTTATCTTTATAAGATATGGTTTATGAAACTAACTAAATGTTTCAAGTGGTAGGTTGTCGTTTTCACTTAAGTCAAGTCTGGTTTCGTCGTATTAAAAATGACAAAGAATTAAATAAGCACTATGCTGAAAAACAGTTGTGTACCAGTGTCTTCAAAGTTTTTACGATCCAAGTTATTTACCAGCATAGGCGTGCGCACGGGGCGAGCCGGTCAAGCCCAGGCTCGACCTGAAACTTTTTAGGGGCATAGTAAAATGTGCGTATATATTTAAATATTTTATTATAATGCTTATATTATACCTAACCTAACCATTACATACATTTAATTAATCTAAAAAAAAACATTATACCTTTATAGGTACAAATACAATAACTATAGTACTATAGACATCAATAGGTTAATATATTATCAACATGTATGTTGGTGTGTTAAAAAAAAAAAAATAGGGGCGCAGTCCAAATATTAGGGCACTATAATTGTCTAGGCTCGATCAGAAATTTAAGTCTGCGCACGCCTATGTTTACCAGGCTTTATTGTAAGGATTTTTTCCAACTGCACAAATAAAATATATGTTACAGTAATAAGTGGGGGCTCTACACTAAATACTATATTTAAACTATAAAAAAAAACTTTACACGAAAAATTGTCAAACTAATTGTATTATGAATTATTTAGTAAACAAATAGTTATTAAACATAATAATAATAATATTTTTAAATATATTTATGGATGAAAATTGTTTTTTAAAATAATCTGTTTTTGGAATGCTTTTCTGCTGTATTATTCTCAATATCTTGTAAATCCCTTTTTACACCTTGAGTTTGAGATGCTTCTGCGAACACTCCTTTGAACCAACTTTGTTCGCGTGCCTTAGGAGTCTCTTTTACTCGGCGACTATTCTCATTTGTCCACGATAAAACTGCATCTCTTGGGTCCCATAAGGATAAAGGTGGCATGTTGAAATGAACAAATAAATATTCGTTTTCCGACTCAACGAGCAAATTTTGTCTATCAGCAGATTTTAAAATGTTACTTGTGCTGATGAGACGCTCTACATCTGCTCTATGTGGTTTAGCAGCGAAAACTCGAGAAAAAATAGTTAGTATGGTGTTAAATGATCCAGATTTAGAAAGATGTTGAACAAAAGAGGCCATAGACATTTTTCGTAGGTTCTCAATGTTACTAACTTCTTGAATTTCTTCATATTCGAGTACAAAATTTGATAAGTCTAAATCCCTCCCAATTAACTTATGTACTTTTTTTAATTGGTCTTGTGTCAATGAGCCTAAACTAATAAATGGCTTAAGAACTTGTACTAATTCGTCATTAGCATTATATACATTTTGCTTATTTTGAATGCTTTTAAGCATTCGTTGTGGTAATCCTGTTTAAGATGTTCATCAATAGTTACAGTTCTATACCGGGCACCTAAGTCCTGACAGATCTTTGGAACTTGAGTTTTTTTAGAATACATTTTGACAAGTTCTGGGAATTTGTGACATATTATACATCTAACAAAATGTTTACCTCCTCTGTGCATATGATCAAATGTTTTGGAAAGTTTAGGCTTTTCGGTCATAATCATAGAGGGATTTGATAAAACTATTTTGAGTTGATTCAATCGATGAAGAAAAATCACGAGAAGTTGTGGTGGTTGTTGTAGTTTCTGTGATTGTTACATGACTTTCTGATGAAGAAGTTTTTGTGTTAGTGTAATGAGATGTTATTGATTCTGATAAAGCAGATGATGAATCTAAAGACGTGGAAGGTGCCATTATCGATTTCACTAACCAATTATTCAAACTATTCGATGTCATACTTATTATTTATATTATAAAATATGAATAACCTAAACAAAAAAATTAAATATGTAGAAAATAATTGTTCGAAAGATAAAGACAAGTGAATTTCAATTAAAAGTATCTAATAAAATTTACAAGTTGGTGAATTCGATACCAATTTCTGTATTAAAATATTTAATATTTTTATTTAATTAATTTGTTTATAATATTATCTAACGATTCTAACGTTTAACAATACATTTTGCTAATGCAATAATGCACCATTCACGTAGTCATTTGTACACGAGCGCGTAGTAGATAGCGAGCGCGTAGTCGTCATTCGTTATCGGGCGTGACTGATTTCAATTTTCAGTATTTCATGTACTACGTAGTAAAATAATATAAATATAAGATAACACATCATGCAAAATTTAAATAATTTTGGAAATCTAATTTTTGTTGTATTTCTCAAGTGCACATATTCGCTTAGCCAACTGCACATTTTATATTTCCTAATGCACAATTAGTGTCCTACTGCACGTTACAATAAAGCCTGTTATTTACCTATTCTAATGAGGTGAATGATGGTTTTATATCTCTCATGGCCAATGCACCACCCAATGTTGAACATTTTACGGATTATATTACACGTTTATTGATAAAAATAGTTTATTCCCGCCTAATTCTTGGGCAGGCGAGCCATCTATGAATCCTAGGACAACAAACGGACCTGAAGCTTTTCATAGAGATTTTAACAGTCAATTTTATACTTGCTATCCTAATTGTTTTGCAACAGTAAATATTTTATTAGAAGTTCAAGAATCTTACTTAAAAATATGTAGCATTAAACGATTAAACGAAACGTGCAAAACAAAAAAAGAAAAGAAGATATAGATAATATTACATATGTATTAAACAAATTTGAGGAATACAAAGTCGATAAAGATGTTGCAAAATATTTATCCCTAATTGGTCCGATATTTATCGGTAAAAACAATATATAATTGTAATATATACAAAGAGTTAATAATAAATACTAAATAATAATGGTATAACATATTATATACAAGATATAATAAATAATAATTTAAAAACTATGACAAGTAATTAAACATTATACTAAAACATTTTTGGGAGACTAAATACAGCCAACCTCCTCGTGGTGTCTCCTGGATAACTCTAATAGGCTTTAAAAATAGTAAAATGGTATTTTACAAGGTGTTTCTAAATGTTATATTAATACCTATGTCCTATGTACCAAACGTGTTATTTTTCTAGAGATATGTTGTACCCAAACGATGTATTCATTTGTACCCAAACGTGTTGCGTTTATTGTTTACTGTACTCAAACGTGTTACGGCCTAATCTATGTCCTATGGGGGGGGGGCTTTGCCCCCACACCCCTTCATTCAATAATACTAATTTAATGATATCTTTATGATAATTTTTTTAAAAATATAAGGATTCATAATTTATATCGATAACCTAATAATTAGATACTTATACCTACATAATGGTTAATACAAATTGGTTATTAATTGTAATATAAAATAGTTAATTGTTTGGAAAAATAAACCATTTAATGAATTCACTCTCATTTTATTGATACTTACATTAGTTTCATTTTAGATTCTGAGTAAAGCGATATATGAATGTATTGATTTTACATACCATGTTTTCAAGAGCGCAGTGAAAAACAAAAGGAAAATTAAGAAAAAAAGGGAATTTTTACGCAAGATCGATTTTTGACTAAATCGATTTTGGTTTTTGGTGTAATTCTAAAACAAATGACGGTAGACACATGCAATTTTGATTTTAAATCTAAGAAAATTTATATTAGGAAAAATAAATAAATAAAATCGTTTTGTAACTTACTTAAAACTTAAAAGTAACTTAACTTAATTTTAACTTTTTACTTCGTTATCCCAGCCTTGCAAATAAAGTACATTTCGTTGGTACGTACGCATTTTCACTCATACTCTTATTGGTTAATTTTTTGTGTATTTGCAGAGTGGTTGCCGGGATGATTTAGATCAGGGATGGCTAACCCGCGGCCCGTGGGCCTCATGCGGCCAGCATGGAAAGTTTTGCGGCCCGCGACATTTATCAAATATTAAAAAAAAAAATTATTTTTGTGCCGATAGAATATTCTAGAATGCCCGCACAACGCGGTATATGTCTTATTAACAACGTAATGGCAACAAAAGTAAAATCGCAATAATGAATTAAAACACATTTTTGAAAAATCAAAGTCAAAAATAGATTTTTATAATATTAATATCACAAAAGAAAATTTTCCCAATTTGAGAAATCTGTCACAAAAAGTTGTGAGTGCTTTTGGATCGACTTACACTTGTGTAAACGTTTTTTTCGAAAATGAAATTCGCCAAAGATAAATCACGCTCAAACCTAACAGATGAAAACCTGCAACATCAATTACGGTGGGAAAATACAAGCATTTCTATTGATTTAAAAAAGCTAAGTGAACGAGTTGAGAAACAAATATCTCACTCAATAGTAATGTTTACTCCATTTTTTTTGTATTAAATACTTTTATATATTTTAATTTTTTTTTAAATACGTTTACATGTGGCCTAATTTTGAATAAAAAAATATAAAAATATGTGATTATAATACTATTTTGGCTGATGACCTTTTTTTTTTTTTTGGCAACCCTATATGTGGCACGCAAGATCATTTGGGTTGGCCATCCCTGATTTAGATTCACATTTAGACACGGTAGGTCCGTCCCGGGGAGGTGCTCTTTTGGGATTTTGAGATTTACGATGGAAATATTTGTTTATAAATGATAATGGTTTCAGTTTATTGGTGCGAAAGCCTGTTGGCGCATAAGTAGTAGGAACTACTATGTATTTTATACTTTATAGTACCTACAGAATACATACCACCAGTGGCGTATTTGAGAAGAGGGGGTTTGTGTCCTCCATGTTTGGACAACACCCCATGACTTAAAAAAGTCCTTATATATTGGACATTGGTATTATCATTTATTTTATAGTATAATAGCAGTGGAGTATCCAGGGAGGGGGGGTTAGGGGGTTGTTATTGGGTTTTTATAATAAATAAATAAAATGTAATTCATAAAAAAAAAAGGTGGGCTAGTGGGTCACTGTATAATGGATGGTATTATACATTTGAATTCAATGATATTATATAATTGTATACGAAAAATGATTCTGAGCGGAGACGGTATGTCCTTCTAGGTATAAGACATATTATATACTTATCTATGGTATTAAAAAAAATGACCTATAATGAATTTCTAAAATACTTGGTTTCATTTGTATTTAAATATAAAATATACAAATATTTTTTTAAAAGTATTCAAAATACTTTACAAGTGCCTACTATTTTTTAGTACCTACCTACCTAGATTAAAACGCACAAATGTATACTCAAAATTATTAATAAATATGTAAATGAAATAATCAATAAATACATTCTTTAATAATTGGTTCAACAATTTCATAATTTTAGATGTCATACTGTTGATGTTATAACTTTTATGTAACCAGCCGACGCCTTAGTCCGCTCGGGTACTCCATCCCCCCTAAAAAATATTGTTCAAAAATTCGACACTTTAAAAAAAAAATGATAATCACTTGCTTGTTGTGCTCTCTCGGATAATTTAAATCATAAACATCCCTCGACTTGTTATGTAAAACAACTTTGGAAGGGCCTTGAACACCTCGGACCTCAAATAACTAAATTTTCAGAACTAAGTCCGACGGCCAAATTTTTACTTCACCATCGTTTCCAACATACTTAACTAAATACGTTAAACCAAACAAATTGAAAAAAGTGTGTCAGGTAAAAATAAATATACCTACCACTGATTTTACCCACGTTCTTAACTCGTTTAAATACGTACCCATTTGTATATGTTTAAAAAAAAAATTAAAATTAAGAACATTCATTTTGAGGACTAAAAAAAGTCTTGCCATCAGTATGGACTATTATGGAGTATTCAGAATACAAACCTTAAAATTAGCATCCCCATAAAAAAATCCTAGATTCACTACTATGTACGAGTATGAATATAGCCAATATAGGTAAGTGGTACCTATGAGCTCTTATTTTAATGTACCAATGTATAGGTTACCCACTATCAAAAATATATAGCCAGTCAGTGTCTGCACTCTGCAGCTGTACTACAGTGTGAATACCCACCAAACTACCTCTTCATCCTAATCCTCTAATAAAAAAACTATCTACCTTGTCCATTCCAGGTACTCCACCTAGGTGGCTTAAGCGATCTATGGTAAGGTTATGGTGTTGAGACCTTCTGTCTAAAAATTAAAATTAGCTTAACTTAAAAGTTAAAACTTAAGAACACAAAATAGGTAATATCACCAATGGATGGTTTCTTCCCTCAAAAAATTCATACGCAAATACCCTATGCACATTGGCTTATTGTTCTAGTTAAGAACATATTGTAAATTTAATGTAAAAAAAAAAAAAGATGGGCAAGTGGGTGTCGCTCTGCTGTACAGTATGTTACAAGTGGATCACTGTATAATGGATTATATTAAATTTGAATTCAACGATATAATATCATTGTATAAGAAAAACGATTCTGAGCGGAGACGGTATGTCAGTCTAGGTTTAAGACATATTATATACTTATCTATGGTATTAAAAAAAAATGACCTATAATGAATTCCAAATTAATCATATCACAATATCCATTAGGTACTTATGACGCGTTATACACCAACAACAAACCCTGATACTATCATAGATATATAGTAGTATACTTTAGAAGTTTCAAGTACCCACGAATAATATTATACAATCACAACAAAATAACTAAAATAGTTATTCTAGGTTTTTTATTACCTATGTAATTTCGTCCAAATTTGAATTTAAAATGTCTGTAAAAAATAACTGTGTTCATATATTTTTTAGATTTTTTGGTTATAGTATGAACTATTTATGAGAACCTTTGTTTTAAAATTGCAATCCTTAGCTATAAAAACTGAACATTTTAAAATTTATTAATTACAATGATTGAT